TATTATTGTTATTACTAGTACAACACCTGTGTATTACACGGGTGCTTGCTAATTTTTTTCTTAAAATTTAAAAATAATGATAAAAAGTAGTTTGAAAATTTAAATACCTTTTATAAGAATATATATATTATTATATATTTATTATGATACTTTTTATTTGTGCGACTTACTTGTGTTATATTATACTAATTTTTTAACTTACAATATATAACTACATTAAATATAAATATATCAATTGAGAAATTCTAATGAATTTTAATAAATATTATTATTTTTTATTATTATAAAGATAAATATAATTTATTTATTTTATATATACAATATGAATGTCAAATCGAAGATCATCAAAAGATGATTAATTTGATATATTATATATGTAAAACCGATAAGAAATACAAAAGTTATCAACTTTTAAAATACATTTATAATTCAATAGCTTATTGAAGGAAGCAAATCAAAATTTAGGGATATATTAGTCACTTAGTGCCTCACTATGTAAAATTACAAAAATTAAAGGGTTATATTAGTAAAAGTGATATTAAAATACCTAAGTTAGCTAAATAATATTTATGGAATACCCGAACCTAGATTATTAATTATTAATATATCAATATATTTGTCCAAACCTAATTACGAAGCATGATTCTTCGCCAAATAAGATTCCGAAGCACCAGAAGCAGCCACGTAGGCTCAGCGCATTCGGGAATTATATATAGGGAGGATTTAATAAGTGTCTTAGAGAATAAATTAGGAATTTAATATTATTGTTTAATATTTGGTAAGGATCTTGTCTTGTTGGACAAGTTAAGGTCTAGGGTTAAGAGTCTTATTTAAAGGGCTCTTCTACTTTGTTATGAGATAGTTGATTATTGAATGAAAATATGAATTGATTGTGTGTTTTATCGAGAGAGTATCTCTTTTATCCTTCCCACTTGTACGCTTTTCCCTACATCAGTTGGTATCAGCAGTCAGTACGATTCGCGATGCCGTCGGGACGACAAGATGCAGTAAACGAACGACGTGACAAAACCTTCAACAATGGATTTCAACAGATCGACTACCGATTTCAACAATTGGACGTGCGTTACACGGATTGGTTTGCTGATCTTTCAACGGGGATCGAGGATTTGCGTTTGACGCTTAACAACATGATTGTTTCGGAATTGCAGACGAACCGCGATGGGGCGGTGGGCCGTGGCAATCGCGGGGGAGATAGAGGCTGACGTGAGGGACTCAGCATGTCGGGGCGCCCCGGCAGCGATCCCCGCCACCTCTGAACGGCAACAACGTTGGCGATTTTGGGGCTCAACAAGAGCAGTCCAAATGCGTTATTTGCGCATGTGAAGGAGATGCAGAAATTAGGCCTGTGCAGAGGAAATTTGGTCGCGAGGTTGGTCGATGGGAGGGCCCGTTTCGCGTGGACATCCTCAAATTCGACGAAGAGCAAGATGACGGGTCATTGTACGATGGTCTGCCCACTTTTTATGAGGAGCCTCCGGTGATGAAGACATATTTATGCGACAATATGGGTCCCACGTGGGACGTCGTAGAGGTTGAGCCTTCAAATGGGAAGCCGTCGTTCAGACCTAATTTTTTGAGTATCTTGGCCAACGATGGTTTTTCGGAGCCAAAGCCGAGGCTCAATAACTGGTGGGCCATTTTTCGATTGTCTATGCCGAAGTCTCTCAACAACGGAATGCTTGGCCATAATTATGGATTTGAGTGCGGTGAACAATGTGATATGTTTGTTGTTAATTCTGTTGTGTGGGTTATGCATATGTGTGTGCATGTGCCTTTGCAACAATACAATCCTTGCCCATGATTATGTTTACCATTGGGATTGTCCGACGACATTCATCCTTCGTGTTCGACCAAGGGAAACGACTGGGTTTCCTACCATGAGTTCGACACCATACGCCGGCCACGGGAGCATATCGGCTGCGAGGGCGAAGCCTCTAAACCGGGAGAGAATGGTGTAGATTAGTATCCATTATTGTTATTTATTATTATTATTATTATCATTATTATTATTATTATTATTATTATTATTATTATTATTTAATAGGTGTCTTAGAGAATAATTTAGGAATTTAATATTATTGTTTAGTATTTGGTAAGGGATCTTGTCTTGTTGGACAAGTTAAGGTCTAGAGTTAAGAGCCTTATTTAAAGGGTTCTTCTACTTTGTTATGAGATATTTGATTATTGAATGAAAATATAAATTGATTGTGCGTTTTATCGAGAGAGTATCTCATTTATCCTTCTCACTTGTACGCTTTAACCTACATCACTAACATTGCAACAAAATTTAAAATTGCAGGACTTAAATTACTAATAAAAAATTCATCCCGAAGATTTTTTATTAGCAATTTAAATCCTGTAATTTAAAATTTTGTGGTAATTTTTGTCCTCAAAAAACTGGAATTGCTTTGAATTTTTAAGTCATAGGACCAAATAACAAAATGTTCAGATCTTAAAACTAAAAACGCTATTGGATCAAACCAACAAGACTAAAATTGTAATCTTGCCGCAGTTTGCATAACTAGAATATACTTGAGGGCTATCATAACACAAATATTGTTGTTAAATTGTTCCATTTTTAGACAATAACACATGTTCAACAAAAATTGCATGTTCATATAATGTAATATCATACTTTATTTCTATATATATTTTTAATTATGACATATTAATATAAATATATACAAAGTAATTGGGAATTCCGCGTGTTATTAACAGGTTATGTAGAAACCTAAGTGAGGGAACAAATAGGAAAAAAAAAATGGTATCATTATTCTTTTTTCTTTTGGTTGCAAAATATTTGGAGTTTGTTAGTTGTATCAAGTTGAGGATAAAACAAGAGTTATATGGGATACAATTCTTGGCTTTGCTTGATTGGATTGGTGCACATATATAAAGTGGGTTTACCCCATAATAAGTTTATATGTTTAATAATAGATATTTGACTTTTTCCACCAACATTATTGCTTTTCCTATCCCATATTGTTACTTCATATATGTGACAAAAAGATGAGAGGTTGTAAAGTTTGGCTGGTCCCCAAGAAAATCCAAACACGAATAAGAGCATCCGCACCGCCTCGTTCAACTTGTGCGTTTAAATGGCTTCTGCCTATTCATTGCAATGCATCCGTTCATTTAAGCGTGGGCCCCATAATTTCGTTCAATGGTTTGAACGGCCATTTTATGGCTTTATTTAATTTTTTTTTGTTTCAACAGCCCTTTTGTGGGCCTTTTTAATTTTTTTTTTAATTTTAATTCAACTTGAGTCTTTTTGTTTTTATTTAATTTTAATTATTTTATATATATTTAATTCAATTTTAATTATTTACCAACTAAAACAATGTCTTTTTAATTATACTTTTTTTTTTGTATAATCTTAATTTAAGTTATTTTAATCTTGTAGTGTTTCTTTATTTTCATGTATTTCTAATTAATTATTATAATTTAAAAATATTAAATTTTTATTTTAGTTGAAAATAGAATATTAAAATTTGTATTGAATGAGTGGATATTGTGGGTCCCGTATATGTAGTTAAATGAATGTATAGGAATGCGGGTGATTGTTTAAATGAAGAGAGAATAAGTGAAAAGATGATGTTGAGATGATGTGGATGAGAGAGAATGTTACTTTTTGATTGAATGAATGATAAATGTATTTTAGGGATGTGGATGCCCTAATGCATGTATTAATTTTGCTTACACTCGACATAGGGCTGAGCATGAGACTCGAAGAATTTCGAACCGTTCCGAAAACCGAACTGAAATTACTTGGAACCTAAAAATAACCATTGACCGTTTGACTTTCTCCGAACCGAACCGAACCGAACCGAAAAATAATTGGTACTATTCTGGAGATTTCACAAATATCCGTACTGAGAACCGAACCGAACCGTCTCATACCATACCAAACCGAAGAACCGAATTATAACATGTTGTTAATATATTTTATGTGAACTTTGATCTTATATAATATACTAATAACTATTAAGCTTCACTTAAATTTCATGCTTAGCAATACTTGATTTACAATTGAATTTTTTCTATTATAAAATAATTATTTAAAATAATATGAAAAGTTAAAGAATATTTTT